AGGTTTTCTGAAGAAGGGTCCAGACCCGAAACGTCAGCTTTCCTGCTCCTCTGATGCTGCTTGGCCTGCTGTGTTCATCCAGCTCTACACCTTGTTATCTTGTATTTGCGAATCATGTTATAAGTGGCAGTATGTTGATAAGGAAGAGGATAGGGCCAGAGATAGATCCTTTGGGGCCCTTCAGAGACACCGTTGTAGGGATGCTAAGAGAAACGATTGCTAGAAATGTTGTGTCCAGGATTGCAAACAAGTGAGGGCTATGACATTGAGCTGGAAGATGAAAGAAAGACATGAGAGGAGGATAGATTCTGAGCATTGTTAAAATATTACAGAGGTATAAAAGGAAGATGGAAAAGGATAATGTATCATGATCAAAAATCACTCACAACTTTATTTGTGATATATTGTGAAATACATTGATAGGTTGAGTGAGTGGGCAAAGATCTGGCAAATGTTTATAAAATATAGGGAAATGTGAAATTATCCCTTTTGTCAGGAAAACTAAAAAAAAAGAAATGAAGTCACATGACACCAGATTATAGCCCAATCGGTTTATTTGAAATCACAAGCTTTCGAAGTGCTGCTCCTTCGTCAAGTGACATCACCCGATGAGGGAGCAGTGCTTCGAAAGCTTGTGATTTCAAATAACCTGTTGAACTATAACCTGGTGTCATGTGACTTCTGACTGTCCATCCTTGTCCAACATCAGCAACCCCACATCATTTAAAGAAATGAGAGTGGAGCTCTGAGATATAGCAGGATCTGAGTTTCCTAATGCATGAACCACAAAAGCATAGCATGCAAGTACAGCACAGTGATTAGGAAATTTATAGCACTTATTGCAAGGAAAATTGAATAAAACAGTAAGGAATTTATGCTTCAGTTATAAGAGCATTGGTGAGATCACTTCTGGAGTACAGTGTAAAATATTGGTCTCCTTATTTAAGGAACAATGTAAAAGGGTGGGGGCCTGTTCAGAGAAATTTACTAGTCTAATATGTAGAATGAGTGGTTTATTTTATGGGAAAAGGTTGGACAGACTAGGATTATATCTGCTGGAGTATAGAAGAGTAGGAGGCAGCTTGTTTGAAACATACAAATTCCTGAGTAGTCTTGTCAGGGACGATGTAGAGAGGATATTTCCTCTTCTGGGAGAATCTAGAACTAAGGGTCACCCATTTAAGACAGAGCTTGAGTCTTTGGAATTCACTTCCTAAAAAGACAATGGAAGTAGTATCTTTGAATAATTTTAAAGCTGATTCTTGTTAAGTAAGGGATCAAAAGGTTATGGAGGTGGTAATGCAAATTTGCAATTACAATTAGATCAGCTATAAGTGTTTTGAATGATGGAGAGCATGTGAGGTGTTGAATGGCCTACTCCTGCTCTTTGTTTGTCAATATGTAAATTAGGCTTGGAAAGAGCCATTGCTGGTGCTTCTGATATTTTCTAGCAAACAGTAAGAGGAAAGGGTGGTGTAGTTGTGACAGCACTAGCCTAGTAACCCAAAGGCTGGGTTTAATACTTGGGGATCAAATGCCAGCTGGTAAATTTTCAATTTAATGAATAAATCTGGAATACAAAACTAGGTGTAGGAATGGTGACCATGACAACTATCATTAACTGTTTCATAAAAAAACCATATGAGTTTTAAAGAAAATTTTCATAGACAGAAATGCCCACATCCCAGGAATAAAAAAAGGAATGTCTTATAAATTCTTGCTTAGTTTGTTCACCTCTCCGGTATATTCTCAAATTCATTCAATATGCATTCTGAGGAAGGGTCATTAAACCCGAAACATTAACTCTGATTTCACTCCACAGATCTGCCCAACCTGCTGAGTCTTTCCAGCAATTTCTGTTTCTGTTTCCGATTTCCAGAATCCACAGTTCTTTTGGTTTTCATTCAATATGAATCGCCCCTGCCTGTCCAAACACAACCTCACTTCCCTTGACAAAGCTTGCTACAATTTATAACGTTCTCTATTTGAATTGACATTGCAGCGGCATTCACAGCTCACATGCCCATTATTGGTTACCTGTGTTGGAGTCCAGACCAACTCCAATGATGGATACCACCTGGCCAGTCTTCTCATGAACCATAGGAGCTCCAATTTCAATTGGTGCCAACATGTTTGTGGCTGGGTTAATGTACGTTTCCCCCCAGTGGATAAACCAGCCCTGTCCTCAGATAAATGGTCACAGCCAAGATGGGCACCTCAATGCCTGTCGCTGCATCTCCAATTGGTCCTCCCAGTTTTAACTTGCACTGGTGATGCAGGGTGTGTAGCTGTAGTTTCACTGGAAGGCCAGTGTTTGGGTTTAGTGGGTGCGGCACATATGGAATCAAATGCTCCTCACTTTGGCAGACCATTCCAAAGACTCAAAAGTAAGGAATAAAATCAATCTACTTCATATACGTAACTCCAAAATTTCATAGGTAAGTCAATAATAGTTCAGCACCAACTACTCAGACAATAAATTAAATGTCATGTGTATATTTTCAGTTTTCTGCCTTCAAAGCTGAATGAGGTACTCAAAGCGACCTATTGCTATTCATTTTTATTTCCGCTAAAGTGGGCATCACTGGCTAGGCCAGCATTATTATCTAATCAGCAACCACATTGTTGTGACCCGAGAGCCACATGTAGGACAGACCAGGTAAGGACAGCAGTTTCCTTCCCTAAAGGACATTAGTGAACCTGATGGGTTTACCTCATAATTGACAGTTGTACTGTGAGACACTTACTGGCGGATTTCCATTGAATTCAAATTCCATCATTTCCCATGGGTCCCATAACCCAGGTCCTTGAATATAACTGAGGTCAATAGTCTAGTGATAATACCACTAGGACATCAATTGGCTTTGGCTTTGAGCAATCAATATTAGCAAATTTTTGCTTTCCCCATTATTGAGTATAGGAGCTGGAAACGTCATGTTGAGGTGTTCTTTGTTCTTTTTTCTAGAAGGTCAAAGCTTGATTTTTTTATATGGATGCTGTAGGACAGTTTTAGTATGGAAGGGCAACATGTGTTGGCCCAGGCTTGGAGGGCCGAAGGCCCTGTGCCTCTGCTGTATTATTCTTTGTACGGGACATTGGTGAAGCTTCTTCTGGAGTACTATGTGCATTTCTGGTTGCCCTGTTATAGGAAGGATATTATTAAATTGGAGAGGCTTCAGAGACGATTTGCCATCATGTTGCAGGGAATGGAGGGTTTGAGTTTTAAAGAGAGACTGCATAGGCTGGGACATTTTTCATTGGAGCATAGGAGGTTGAGGGGCAACTTTATAAAGGTTTATAAAATCATGAGGGGTATAGATAAGGTGAATGGCAAGAGTTTTTACTAGCGTGGGAGAGTTCAAAGCTGGGGGCAAAAGGACATGAGGGGCAATTTTTTTCCAGAGAATCATAGAATCCCTATATCATGGAAGCAGGCCATTCGGCCCATTGAGTCCACACTAGGGCATCCCACCCAAACCCACCCCCCCTACCATATCCCTGTAACCCTGCATTTCCCATGGTCAATCCACTTAACCTGCACACCTTTAGAGCATGGGAGGAAATCCACACAAACAAAGGGAGAATGTGCAAACTCCATACACACAGTCACCTGAGGCTGGAATCGAACCTGGATCCCTGGTACCTTGAGGCAGCTGTGCTAACCACTGAGACACCATGCCGCCCCAAACTGCCAGAGGAAGTGGTGGATACAAACACAGTTACAACATTTAAAAGACATTTAGATAAGTAAATGAATAGGAAAAGTTTAGAAGGACATAGGTCAAATGTAGGCAAGTGGGATTAGTTTGGTTTGGGAACCATGATCGGCATGGAATGGTCGGACTGAAGGGTTTGTTTCCATGTTGTATCACTCTATGACTCTGTAATGCTCACTGATTACTTCTCTCAGATTTTTACATCTGGTTTTGCTTTTTATTTTAAAGTCATTTACCTGATGCATTATACATAATACAAGTACAGTAGTATAATGAATGTGTTATAGACTAATAATCCAGAGGACTGGGCTAATGATGCAGCAATTATAAAGTCCACTGCAGGTGCAGCAAGCAGTTATGAAGGCAAATGGTTTGCTGGCCTCTATAGCAAGAGGGTTTGAGTACAATAGTAAAGATGTCTTGCTTCAGCTGTGTTGAACCTTAGTGAGGGCATGAGGAGTACTGTGCGTGATTATGGTCCCCTTACCTCAGGAAAAGTATAGATGCTGTAGACAAAATTCAACAAAGCACCTCCAGATTAATCGCTTGGTTGAGGGACTGTTCAATGAGGAAAGATTGTGGAGACTTGGCCTGTATTCTCTTGACTGTAGAAGAATGAAAGGTGATCTCATTGAAATGTACAAAATTCTAAATGGGGTAGACAGGAGAGATGGGCAAGGCTGTTTCATCTGTCTGCGAAACTAGACACTGTCTCACACTAAGGGGCAAGCCATTTAGAACAGAGATAAGGAATTTCTTCACTCAGCAGTAGTGAGTCTTTGGAATTCTCTTCTTCAGACAGCAGTGGAAGCTCAACACGTTCAAGACAGAAAGTGACAAGTTTCTGGATGCTCATGACATCAAAGGATATATGGATAGTGCAGGAAAATAGCATTGCCTACCTCAATCAGCCAGGATTTAGAATGGTGGACGAGACTCAAGGAGTGGAATGACTTAACCTGCTCCTATATTCCATGATCAAATTCCAGAACAGTAGCTCGGAAGTTTAAATTCAACTAATTAAATAAAACCAGTAATCACAGTGATCTTTGAACATGGTCAATATGTAACAACTAGGTAGCTATAAACACCTATCTGGTTCACCAGTATTCCTCAGATCAGGAATTCTGTTGTCCTTACTTGGGTCTATTTATGAGCCCAGACCCACAGTAATGTGATTCATTCTTATTCACCCTCTGAACCTACCAAGTCACTCAATTGTATTCAAGAAAACATCTCACCACCATGTTCACAATGGCAACTAAAGTGAACAATTAATGATCTTTCCAGTGGCGCCCACATCAGATAAATTAATAAAAAGGAGAACTTGTTCCTGTGGAACATCCAGTGGAATAGAGCAAGTGAAGGAAAGAGAGAATGTTGATGGTGAAGGGTTGGAATGAGAAACGTCTCACTGAGGTGTTTAGAACAATTCTGTGAGGCATGAATTGGTCCTCATATTCTTTAGCTATTCAGTGCCTTCAGACAAGATAAATAGGGTGAAATGGATGAAAAGTTGCTGAAAGCAGATTTAATACAGCAAGATTCAAAAAGAGAATTAGATAAACATTAGGTTGAAGGCAGAATATTCACAGGGCCATGGGTAAAAAACAGGGCATTGGGTGTCACAGGGCAGCTCTGTGAAAGAGATAGAAACATTTCCTATTGGACTGTATCATTCTATAATCCCATGACTAGTTTCTAGTTTCATCTCCCTGCTCAGCTCGATTACTCATGAATTATTTCCTCATTTGTCAGTCATTAACAAAAGTTATTGTGCAAATATTTCATGTATGGTATTAAATATAACTTTTCTAGTTAGCACACAGGATGACCCTGATGCACAGTTTCTACAATGGTCTTTGAGATGTATTTTCTTCTCATATTAACAGTCAGCTTTTTGCTTTGGGGAACTAACCTGATGAGTCCGTGAGTGAGATAAGCTTGGACTTTGTGGAATCGTAACACACGTTGCCAGCGATAGGGAGCACCCTGCCAGTCTGAGGGTGCAGGAAATAGCCTTCAGGCACATACATGAAGTATTTGTTGGCCAGAAGCATAACAGTGTCAGGACATGGAGTAACCAGCCCTGTCAGCTGATCCAACTGGAGGTCACATGCTCGGATTGTTCCATCAGCTCCTGTTGTGTGAAATTAAAGTTAGTTTTAAAATGACAACATTCTGACATTTCACAATTGGAGTAGCTTTCAATACCTGGTACCTGTGGAAGGGCATGGAGGAGTGGAGTCATCGAGTTATACAGCGTAGTAACAGACCCTTTAGTCCAACTCATCCACGCCGACCAGACATCCCAATCTGATCCAGTCCCATTTGCCAGCATTTGGCCCATATCCCTCTAAACCCTTCCTATCCATGTACCCATCCAGATGCCTTTTAAATGTTGTAATTGTAGCAGTTTCCACCGCTTCCTCTGGCAGCTTGTTCAATACAGACACCACCTTCTGTGTGAAAAAGTTACCTCTCAGGTCCTTTTCAAATCTTTCCTCTCTCACCTTAAACCTATGCCCTCTAGTTTTGGACTCCCCTAGGAAAAATACACTGTCTATTCACCCTATCCATGCCTTTCGTGATTTTATAAACCTCTATAAGGTCACCCCTCAGCCTCTGATGCACCAGGGAAAATAGCCCCAGCCTGTTCAGCCTCTCCCTATAGCTCAAACCCTTCAGTCCTGGCAACATCCTTGTAAATCTTTTCGGCATCCTCTCAAATGTAACAACATCCTTCCTATAGCAGGGAGACGAAAATTGAATGCAGTATTGTAAAAGTGGCCTTCCCAATGTCCTGTACAGCCGCAACATTACATCCTAACTCATAAATTTAATCCTCTGACCAATGAAGGCAAGTGTACCAAACACCTTCTTCACCACCCTGTCTACCCGCAACTCCACTTTTAAGGAACTATGCATCTGCACCCCTAGGTTTCTTTGTTTGGCAACACTCCCCAGGGCTCTACTATTAATGTCCTGCCCTGATTTGCCTTACCAAAATGTAAAACTTCACATTTATCCAAATTAAACTCCATCTGCCACTCCTCGACCCATTGACTTCTGATCGAGATCCCATGGTGATATTCTTCTTCACGTCCACTATACCATCTATTTTGGTGTCATCTGCAGACTTACTAACCACACCTCCTATATTCACATCCAAATAATTTATCTAAATGACAAAAAGCAGTGGACCCAGCACAGATTCTTATGACACACTGCTGGTCACAGGCCTCAAGATGGAAAACCAAACCTCTACCACTGCACTGTGTCTCCTATCTTCAAGCCAATTTTGTATTCAATTGGTTGGCTCCCCCAAGGATCCCATGTGACCTAACCTTACTAACCAGTCTACCATATGGAACCTCAATGAATGCTTTGCTGAAGTCCATGTAGACAAAGCCCATCACTCTGCCTTCATCAGTCTTCTTTGTCACCTCTTCAAATAACTCAAGCAAGTTAGCGAGACATGATTTTCCACACACAAAGGCATGGTGGTGAGGTGAGGGGGTGAGGGGAGAATTGGAATGGGTCACTGTGTTCAGCAATTATGCGCGCTGTAGATCCATACAGTCTACAATAGAACTTAAGGGAGTCACTCTCTTTCACTGTCTGCAATTTTCCCCTTGTATATTAACTCATCACTTTTGGAATGTCTTTTCATTCCATTTATGAATGTCCCATCATTCAAGCCTCATTCTTCATCAAAGGGTCTCAGGCATAACTGAGGAGTGTGATGGAATACTCTCCATTTGCCTGGATTGACGCGGCAACACTCAAGAATCTCATGGACTGTTTTACGACAAACGGTTGATGTGACCCGCACCCCATCAACCAACATTACACCACCACTACCTCCTCCAGTGCTGAGTTGGCTGTGATTTGTAATTAGATGCATCGTAGATCTTCAACAAATGCAGAACATTCCAAATATTTAAATAAAGGTTTCAATGCATTCGTCGCACACATCCTTGTGTTAAATAATTAAAATAGGTGATATATTTGACAGCTATTGTCACAATTATTCGTGGTATTCTCATAAGATTCAAAGAATTAGCAAAAGATATATGTTTTTGATTAATATTTTCAATACCCAATACCAGCAATTCTACCAACCTGTTCAACAACAGTTTTTGCACTTAATTTTTAGCCACTATCAAGAGTCATCCAGCATTCTACAATATTTTAGCAAAAAATGTATCTGGCATTTTAACTGGGAAGTGACAACAAACGTATTTTTTTCTTTACCGATGAGTTCCTCCTTGGAGAGTGCTTTAGATGTATTCTTGCTTATGAGCTGCGTGCCGGTTCCATCCCCTAGAAGAGCCCAAGTATTTAATCTCTGACACTCGCTCGTGATGACATCTGACATTTGTAATATCAATGCTTCGAACTGCTCAGCAACTCTGCAATAAGACATTACAATAGAATAATTTTGAAAATTAGTTTCATCAGTTAACTTTGCTGCTTAACACTTTTGAACGGTCACTGTTAAGATTTATATCTTTTTTGTAAAATTCTCAGTTCACAGCGATGACATTTAACTTCCTGACCCACAGACTGCAATCAGTAAGGAGAGGCAATAACACCTCCTCCACAATAATACTCAACATCAGTGCCCTGCGAGGCTGCATACTCAGCCCCTTATTATATTCCTTGTACATTCAAGACCGCATGGCTAAATTCAGCTCTATCTCCATTTACAAATTTGCTGATGACACCACTATAGTGGATCAGATCTCAACAATGACAAGACAGAGTACAGGAAAGAGATAGACAGTTTAGTGGCATGATGTAAAGACAAAACTCTCACCCTCAATGTCAGCAAAATAAAGGAGCTGGTCATTGACATCAGGAAGCAAAGTGGAGGACACGCTCCTATCTGTATCAATGGTGCTGAGGTGGAGATGGACAACAGTTTCAAGCTCCTAGGAGTAGTTATCACCAACAATCTGTTCTAATCCATCCACATTGATACTACAGTCAAGAAAGCACACCAATTTCTCAACGTCCTCAGAAGGCTAAGGAAATTCAGCAAGTCCACAATGACTCTTACCAATTTTTATAGATGCACCACAGAAAGCATCCTATCCAGATGCATCACAGCTTGGTATGGCAACTGCTCTTCCCGCGACCACAAGAAATTACAGAGAGTTGTGAGTGCAGATCAGTCCATCACACAAACCAGCCTTCCATCCATTGATTCTGTCTATATTTCCCGCTGCTTTGGGAAAGCAGCTAACATAATCAGAGATCCCTCCCACCCAGTTATACTCTCTTCCACCCTCTTCCATCAGGCAGAAGTTACAAAAGTTTGAAAACATGCACCAACAAATTTAAGAACAACTTCTTCCCCGCTGTTATCAGGCTTATAAACAGACGTCTCATATATTAGAGTTGATCTTTCCCTGCATCTTCTCTGTAGCTGCAATATAATATTCTGTATTCTGTGCTACTACCTTGATTTACTTAGGTAAGATATGGTTTGTCTGGCTAGCATGCAAAACAATACTTTTCACTGTATTTCAGTACGTAACAATCATAGTTCAAACAAAACAAAAGCAAAGAATTTCAAATCCTTGAGATCTGAAATGAAATCACAAATTGTGGTATAAGTTCAGTGGGTCTGGTAGCAGCTGCAGGAAGAAAGCACAGTTAACATCCAATGACTCTTCATTAGAATTGTTAGCAACTTTGAAAACGTGGTATTTACACTGAAGCCGAAGTTGGTGGAGTGGGGAGGGGAGGGGGCGAAGAATTAGGAGGTGTGAGCACATAGGTGGAGATGGAGCCCAGAAAGGGAAAGATATGAAATGGTTGGTGAACAAGAGGATAATGGAGAGAAGGCCAGGACAGTAGAAAAGCTGAATGAGTGACAAAAAGAGCTAAGAGTAAAAGAAAATGGGTGAGCCGTACTGAATTTAAACCACACTGAATGTGATCATAGGTCTAGGAGAATTGAGAATGGGTGACTGTACTAAAAGCACGCTGTGTCATGACAAGACCAGGGTGTGGAGGAGAGTGAAAACTTAGAAGGATGGAATCAGGCTCTAAAGTTATTGAACTCGGTGTTGAGTGCTAGATGCTGTAGGGCCCCCAAGAGGAAAATAAGATGTTGCTCTTTGAGCTTGTGTTGATGCTCACTGGAACACTGCAGCAGGCCTGCAACAGAAATGTTGGTGTGGCAACATGGTGGTGCATTGAAGTGGCAGGCAACTGGAAGCTCAGGGTCAGTTTTGCAGACAGAGCGTAGGTATGGGCACCTTTTTTTTGCTTTCTGTCTCCCCAGTGTAGAGGAGACCACATTGTGAACAGTAAATACAGGAGACTAGTTTGAGTGAAGTGCAGGTAAATTGCTGCTTCACTTGGAAGGTGTGTCTGGGGCCTTGGATCATGAGGAGGGAGGACGTAAACAGGCAGATGTTTACATGGGAAGATCCCGTGGTACTGCAAGAGATGATGGGAATGGAGAAGGAGTGGACCAATGTGTCCCAGAGGGAATGGTTTCTGCAAAGGGCTGACAAAGGAAGGGATGAGAATGTGTGTCTAGTTGTGGCACCCTACTGGAGGTGGCATAAAGAGTGACTTATAATCCATTGGACGCGGATATTGGTGGGGTGGTAGGTGAAGATGAGGGGGATCCTATTGTGTTGTGTGTGAGGGCTGAAGTGCAGGATATGGGTCGGATCTGGGTGTGGGCCCTATCAACTATGGTGGTGGGAAAATTGTCAGTCGAGGAAGAAGGTAGACATTACCAAGGCCCTTTGTAGAAGCTGGCATCATCGGAAAAGACCCAAAAGAAATGGAGGAACTGAGAAAATAGGATAGAGTCCTTATAGGAAACAGGGTGAGAGAATGTATACTCAAGATAACTGTGGAAGACAGTGTGTTTATAGTGGATATAGCTGGCCAGCCGATCCCGCAGAAACGGAAACAAATGTCGAGGAAGGGAAAGGAGGAGTCAGAGATGGACCAGATGAAGGTGAGAGCGGGATGGAAATTTGAAGAAAATGTAATAAATATTTCCAATTCCAAACGAGGAAGGGAAACAGCCCCAATGATGTCATTGATGTATGGAGAAAGTGTTGTGGGTGAAGGCTAGAGTAGGATTGGAAAAGGGATGTTCCATGTATCCCACAAAGAGACAGGCATAACTAGGGCCTATGCAGGTAATGTCCACACCTTTAATCTGAAGAAAATGAGAGGAGCTAAAGAAGAACGTAATTAAATTGGGAATGATTATGGCCAAGCGGAGGAGAATGGTAAAAGATTGAAAAATCGCTCCTGTCTTGAAAAGATCTAGCTAAATGGGGGAACAAGTTGAGATGTGGCATGTACAATCCTACTTTTATGCTCTGTCTGGTGACATAATCCATAGTGAAAGCAGATTCACTCCTGGAAATACCAACGAAAGTAGTCATAGATTAAAACTTTTATGAATAGTGTATGTATGAAGAAAATGACAGTGGATATTTGTAGTCTACCAATGCAACTACACTCCCACCCTGCCAACTCTTCCTTTTACAATGTGCCAAGATGACTACTGCTGATGGTACCTGGTGCCTGGCAGTATCTTGTGCCTCTTGCTGTTGACAATGTTTTCGTTCACCAACCGTACTGCTTCTCTCAGGACTGTGTTGAAGGAGATGTGATGCTCCTCACGGCAGCTCCAGTCACTGAGAAGTAGTTGCAGCTGTCTGTTCAGAACCTCCTCAAACTCCATCCCAATATGCTTTTGCCTCTCAATCTCTGTCCTTATCTGAAAGGATAACACAGGCATGGGTTCAGCCAGTCATGTCTCCAATTCCAACCCATTCAGGAGTGCAAATTCAAGACACAAGTCATCAATTTAAAACAAAACATTTTTAGTTGGGTTCCTGATGTGATATCTGGGAGTCTGGGAGCTGTCCTCTTATTAATGGCCACTGCTGTTAACCCTAATCAGTTCTGCGCTCATAATCTGCTGTGAAAGATTTTCAACTTACCAGGTGATGATGGGCTTCTAAACTTCTGCAGGACACCTGATTGCATTATAATTATGATAGCCACTGTGACCAGGTATGGGTCACATGATACTTAAAGGTTCAATTCACACTATTACAGCTCCTGGTATCTACGTATATTACAATGACAGGCATTGCTATGTCTGTTAGTACTGAACATTTTACCTACAAGTTGTAGCGTGCTTCCTTCAGGGTGTCATGCTGCAAGTGGCCTCAGTAAGATGGAGACTGAGATTGTATATGGTCAGGTCACATGCTATGATACTGTCATAATATCATGAGCATATCTCTTAAAGGAATATTGCACGCTAGTTCAGACATATAACTCAAGAGTTCCTATTACCTACAGTGAGTATGCAACCCATTCCATAAAATAACAATCTTAATTATGGTTTATTTAAAATTTCCTCAGTAATCAATGATTATTGGAACAATTTTAAAAGTGACTATATTGTTAGACTGGGTGGATCTGGGGACTTGCTCCCTCTGACAACTTCCTTTCTTTCAAATTTCCTTGCACATTCTGCCAGAACATGTTCCATTCATGTGCAAAACCAGAATTCACTAAGCAGAACAGAAAACCACTATTATAAATACAGAGTCCTGGTTTAAAATTGCCCCTTTTAACATTGTTTCGCTATAATGTCACTTAGTTCTTAGGACTGGGGATTTCATTGAGCATTATAGGGTTTGTGTGCTAACGTTGTTTACTGAAGCGTTTCATCAGACCCACTGATGATCAATCTCTCTCTCTCTCTCTATGATACTAGTGGCCGCCCCAAGCCTTCTAAGCTGAGATCTCTTGCTGAACTGAACTATTCACAAGATGCAAACTAGGGACTCCCAGTCAACAGGCTCCAGGGCTGGATTGCCTGCCCCTCACCCCTCTCTGTCTGAGAGGTGCTGGCCAGTGTTGGGCCTGGTAGACCACCCTCTCCTACTCTGACCCACAATCTTGGCAGCACCCCAACAACTCCCCCTGCTGCCCCCCAGCCCCCAACGCCCTCCCCCCTCCCCCAACCACCGTAGGCAGTGGCCGGAACAGCAGGGCCCCTGTCACAAACTGTGGCCGAAAGCCAGCTGGAGAGTCATCCAGACTAGAGGAGCCATCACCCCAGTCTCCAGCCCAGTCAAGACTCAGCAGCTCCCCACCATGCGTCCCCATCCACCATAGGAACATTGGCCGACATCAGAGAGAGAGCCACTCCCAACATCCACTGGCCAAGAGGATAGGTGAAGAAGTCCAGGATCTCAGAACCTGCCAAGAAAAACAACCTCACCAAACAAATGGCCTGAGCAGACCCCAGGGCCACCAGAAGACAGCAAGAAGGGATGCCACAGATACCCTAAAACATGCCACCAGACAATGGCTATGATGTGGCTCAGAACAAGCAACACCGTCAGCCAATGGCCCAGAGTCCAGTGAGCAATCATTCCAATGGGAATCAGTGCTTCTCCTCAAATTGTTTTTTTTTAAACACGAGTTCACAATTTTCAGGAATGACACTCCAACTTTAAGTGACAACACCCTGCATTTTTGGATTTGTTGGGCTGAATGGCCTTTCCACACTATGGGGATTTTATTCTATTCTGCCCATTTACTTGGCTTGCTCCAAATGTCCAAGACTCATCTTCCAGTTGGAATCCTTAAAAATCTAGAACCAAAAAAAATACAACAGCCGGTAGAATTTGGAGACCAGGAACTGTCAAGAGTTTAGAACTTAGAGACACAATAAAGAGAACTTGTACACTGGTGGAGAGCTGGGGATGTGAAGGAGACTAAAGTATAACTCAAGAACTGGAGGAAGCCCTCATAACCTTGCCCCCGTGTTCAATTAAAATCATTTTTCCACCCTCATTCAGATGTATTCATACTAGTTGCACCCATAAGAAAGACCTTTGCATCTATTATCATCAGCACAATATTATTTGATGATACTTGTCTTGACCATTTATTGCAGATACATTCATAAATTAGACACCTTCTTCCAGCTTTGCCTTCTTAAGATCTTGGGCATCACTTGGAGAAACGCCATGGTTAAGAAGTGCAATTTAGGACTGGCTAAAGACACTTGCACAACATTGTGGCAGAGCGATGATGAGACTGGCAGGACACATTATTCAAGACAATAAGACTGTGGATACTGGAATCCAAGTTAGACAAACAGGGGGTTGGAAGAACACGGCAGGCCAGGCAGCATGTGGAGGAAAAGAGCAGTCAATGTTTTGGGTATTACCCTTTTTCAGGACTGTTATTCACCTCCTGGACACATACCCCACCAGAGCGGCAGTGAAATGGACACCACTAGACGGGCGAAGAAGAAAGGGACAGCCAAAGAGGACCTGTCAAATTATATTTAAGTAGGAACTTCAAGAGTGAGACACCATTTGAGCTGATGCTGAAGGGGATTGTGATGGACTGGGGCTGGTGACAGAAGCTTGCTGTGTGCTTGCAACTGGAGGAACAAAGTCCAAGTAAGTTATCCAAATCACTATCCACAAACTATGAATGCAATGGCTGTCTTAAAAACCAACCTTGAGGCACATTTTCTCATACATTTCCATGTCTTTGTTGTTACTAACTACAGCTCTTCCAGCAAAGTGCATTCTTTCCATCCAAAGTTCCCTGAGTGAAGCAGTCTCCTTATCTATTTTTTGGTATAATGTCTTCACCTGTAGAGAAGAGATTTAGAATACATCTTTATATAGAAGTTCTGAATGAACTCTAAATATACATTATTTGAAGCTAATATTTGGTCTTGGTTCCCTCTGTACAATGTCATAGGAGACAGATAACATGTGTCCTACATTTTATTACATTGAAAACTTCATTTTTTAAAAATGCAAAGCTTTGGTTCTATTGGGTTTGTCATACCCCAAGGTCAGCAGAAGTGAGTGTATTTGAATATGAATTTGAAAGTTTCAGTGTCAAGAAAGAAATGTTCGCTAACAATATTGCAATATCAATCATTGGCCCATGGTATTCAATGGCATTATGATTGCTGAATGCCCCATAATCAACATCCTGGGGTTACGATTGACCAGAAACTGAACAGAGCTAAGCATATACATACTATGGCTACAAAAGCAGGTCAGAGGCTATGCATTCGGCTGTGAGTAACTTACCTCCTGTCTCTCCAATGCCTGTCCACCTTCTACAAAGTACAAGCCAGGAGACTGGATGGGTGCAGTTCCAACACCAGTTCAGAATTCTGGCATCATCCAGGACAAAGCAGTCAACTTAATTGGCATCCAATTTACCACCGTCAACATTCTATCCCTTCAACACCAACACACAGAGTGTGCCACCTACAATATGCACTACGTTGTTTCATAAACACGACTTCGACAGCACTTTCCAAATTTATGACCTCTACCAGCTAGAAGGACAAGGCAGCAGATGCATAGGAGCATCACAACTTGCAAGTTCTCCTCCAAGTTACATACCATCCTTACTTGGGACTAAAGCACCCTTCCTTCGTGGTTGTGGTGTCAAAGTCCTGGAACTTCTTTCCAAGCAGCATCATTTGGGGTTCCTACAGAGCAAGGACTACAGCAGTTCAAGAAGGGGTCCAACTAACTTCTCAAAGGCGATTAATGGTGGGCAATAATGCCAGACTAGCTAACAATACCCAAATCCCACAAATGAATATAAAAGAAGCCAAATGATCACATCACACATGGGCAAAACTCAGTGGCAATCTTATTAAACAAGAAAAATTGCTAATGGAATAATTCCTGGTGTTGGAAAAGACAATGGAAATACATGTGAAGGAATTGTTTAACTAAAAGCTCTTTCTGAGGCTGCATCAATTTAAACAGCTCACCATGTGTCTTACCTCATTCTTATATTGACTTAACCTGATAGACACAGCAAGTGACTGCTTCAGCAGAATTTGATAGAATGTGTTAGCGTTAAAGGACTCCAGATCAATTTGCTTTTCATAATCCCAAAACTCATGATTTTTCAGAACAGAATCTAGGATAAAATAGTTTTTATTTAATTTCTGAAAGAAATTGCAAAGATTGAAAAGACAGATCTTAAGAGCACTTCATCCATTAGCTGTGGGATCTTGCTGTGTACCATTGAAACCAATCACTGTGATCCCAGTAATGATTGTTGTACTGCAAAGCAAATCATTAAAGATGAAATGCTTCCAAGTATTTAGAAATGTCAGAAATTAATTATATTAATACAAGTCTTTTTCTCTAAATTAATTTTACTTCAGTTAATTAAGTTCATGAACTATCTTATATGAAGCTGCTCAGTCCAAAATGGAAGCACCAACAATCCTTGCTGCTAGATGCCAACTCAAATGACAGGTAGGATCTCATTAATAATCTCGAATGAATATTTGGTACATGGGCTTTGTTACTGTACATCTGTGCTGTTGTGATGTCTGATTGCATTTGACTTGGAATAAAATGTTGAAACACTTACCGTCTCCTCCTTCCTCATTATTTTCATTCCCCGCAGTTTGTTCCTTGAAGCTTAGACTCGGATGGAATTTTTTAATGGTAATGACGGCAGCTCCTTTCGAAGAGTAATCGTCAAAGTTGTACACCTTGTGTAGTTTCCGATAAGTTGGTTCAACAGATGCTTTCTCAGGCCACTTGCACTTTCTAAACAGAAGTTGAAGGGTTGAACAGAAACAAAATTTTCCACCCACCAAATTTGTCATTTCATGTTTCTTCCTTTCTAGAGGAACGCGCAGTACAAATCCATCTTGAGGGAAGGCCTGGCTGTTTTTCTCCAGGTCCATTATTCATTCCATTGTTATCAATCAAATTGATTATTGGAAGGAATATACATCTGGAAATTGTCACAAAAGACCTGGTTTTGTTCTTCTCCCCAAGTTAAATTTATCCCCATTGATTCAAACTGAGATACCTCTCCACAGGGACAGGCCAATATCTCCAATATCTCCCCGCGTGGCCATTATTTGTATATTAGCAGAGACTCCAGTTGATGCAATTAGGAGATAAGCCCCTTGCTTTACTTTTACACATCCAAGAGTTAAGAACATAGAATCCCTACAGTGTGGAAACAGGCCCTTCAGCCCAACTGACCCTTGGAGCATCCCACTCCGACCCATCCCCTTATAACCCACCTAAGCTACTCATCCCTGAACATTACAGGCAATTTAGCATGGCCAATCCATCTAGCCTGCACATCTTTGGACTGTGGGAGGAAACTGGAGCACCTGGAGGAAACCCACACAGACACGGGGAGAACGTGCAAACGCCACACAGACAGTCGCCCGAAGGTGGAATTGAAGCTGGGTCGCTGGCGTTGTGAGGTAACAGTGCTAACCACTGAGCCACTGTGCCACCCCAAAGTTCTGAAGCCAATTGCAATATCCTGTCCATATCCCCACGAGTGTCTGAATAAGATCAGGTGTTGGGAAGTTGGGTAGACTATTTGTGGATTGGAAGGCAGGATGTTAGAAAATTTGATGTTTGTAAAATGATAAGGGGGAAGAGTTTGTGGTTGCTTTAAAAAAAAGGATTAAAAGCTTGGAGATTTAAAAAAAAGTTCCACAAGCAGCAGTAGCTGCACAGAGAATTCTTGAATTGAAACATTTGTATTGATGGGGCATTTTTACCAAGACAACATGTTTTTAATTTAAAAACCAAAAGAACAGCGGATGCTGTAAGTCAGGAACAAAAACAGAAGTTGCTGGAAAAGCTCAGCAGGTCTGCTGAGGTAAAGAAAAAATCAGAGCTAACGTTTCGGGTCCAGTTACTCTTCCTCGGACCCTGCAGCCCTCTGGACTCAATATAGAAGAAGAAGGGTCACCAGGCTCAAAATCTTAACTCTGATTTTTTTCTTCACAAATGCTGCTGGACCTGCTGAGCTTTTCCAGCAACTTCAGGTTTTGAATTCAGCTAACTAATTTAAACCAGGCCCTAGATACCAAAAATCAATTAGATTTCGATCTGATGGTTTTGACGACCAAGATCCAATCCTATTGTAAGAAATTAATAGGCCAACAAGGGGATAAAAGAAGAGGACATTTGAAAATTGGAGATTTGGACATTTGAGAGGTAACAACCCACCAGCTCTAAAGAGAAATATTGGCTCTCACAGAATTCTATCAGCTCTCAGAACAAAATGTTATCTAACTAAAGGCGCAGTGGCATTCTTAGCAAATATTCCCAACATCAGAATTCAATGGAGAAAGGCATTCCTCGCTGAGGATCATCGGAGAGGGCATGGATCATTCCGGAAGACGCAACCTGACTGTAATTTCGAGGGATTAAGTTTTAATTTTTTTATTATTATTATTTTGGTTTTCACAAGTGGGACTTGTATTAATTAGAATAACATACCATTAGAATTTTATTTTATTCCGGAATAGTTAGTAGTTAAGGTGGAATTGTTTGCTTTGTCAGTAGTTCTGTAATTTGTTCACTGTTAGAATTAGATAAATAAATTGTTACTTATTGAGTAAAGAGTGAGTATCAGTAATTCATTTCATTTAACTTCCCCTTTATAACAGGTTGGGGGGTGGTGACAGGCAAGTTTTTCCAGACTTCATTAGCAGATTACGAGGTGGGGTGAGCTTCTCTGGGTGTTTCGGTTTTAATTATCAAGTGAGATGTTGACACCTCCTTCATAACACAGGTGATTTGACGCCAATCTGGAATAAAATAAAAGACTTACATTTACACAATACTCTTCATGACAGAAGGGTTTCCCAAAGTATATCACAGCTAATAAAGTACTTTGGAACTGTAGCCATGTGGGAAATGTAGCAACCAATTTGTGCATTGAAATTGCACCAAGAGAAGATGAGCTTCCACTAAAATGACTGTTTTCATACGCAGTGTTTTTGTAAATTAATGTCTCTTAATTTAGTTAAAAGGAAATATAATGAGCGGTTTGCACTGAGGTTATGATATACGTGGAGTATTCATCTGTTGCCCTCTTAAGGTAAAAACCTTAATTGTTCTGAATGGTTTGAACTGAGATTTCTTTGTTTTTTTTAAATGAAACTAAATTCATCTTACAATGCATGTTTAAATAGATGCTGTATATTTCTTCTATTGATTCATGGGATTTGGGCATTGCTGGTTAGCCTAGCATTTATAGCCCATCCCTAATTGTCCAGAGGCAGTTAAGAATCAGCTACATTACTGTGGTTATAGAGTGAGATGTAGGCCAGATCAGATAGGATGGCAGATTTCCTTCCATCAGTTAACCAGATAGGAAACAATTGAAATTGAGTACATGCTTGCCATTTGGTTAACTTTTTAATTCCAGATTTTTACTGATTTCAAATTTCACCATTTACCATAGTAGGATTTGAACCCATGTCCCCAGAACATTAAACTTGGTTATGGATTATGAGATCAGTGATATTACTTGCATCCCTCATTATCCATGTATATATTGTGCAGCGGCACCATGATATCATTTAGATCAAAGTTAGGGACAACCAGTGGCACGTAGTCCGAAAATGCAATAGCACTTCAAACCAACTGAGAAGCAACATCTTCTACATGTTTTAACAATTAGAATTGGATGCCTTGCTCACCAACAATCCTGCACAGACACCGACCATTACGACTGATGCTATCAGCAAGCTGGAAATGAGGAACCAGTCTGGATTCAGCCATAAGTCTCTGCTCCTGCTGATACCGATGCAGACCATATTTCTGGCTGTGGTTGGGAAGAAAGGGCCTTCTTCATAGCACTGGCCTCTGACAGGCATCACTTGGATATACTGGACAAAGAACAATTGTATATTTCTGTTGCAATAGGTAATGCTTCTGACAGGGTAAATGCTGAAGACTGCATTAAGCTCTACCAAATTGAATGACATCATAAGGACTTGAGTGGGGAAATGCGGAATAGCTGTGGATCTTAAAGGAGTCAAGACCTACCAACTAGATCCCCCCATAGTCCTTGTAACAATGTCTATCACACCGGTGTAACATGTAGCTGATTTATATCATGCAGCAAACTTGATCTTGTTTCAGAGAAGAACTTCTTCTCATTTGATGACCAAATCGTTTCCCTCTTTTGCACTAGACCAAGTGGACCCTGTAGATCCCAACATAAATGGATGGTGGCAAAAAATTTACCTTACTATATCCAAGTATCCCGTTAGCCCAAACACATAGCGCCAGTGGTGGTCATCTGAACATTAGTTAAACTATTTCAACTTAACAATTTCTCCTTGAGAAGTTAACGTAATCAGTGTGTGTTTTTAACTGACTTCACTAGAAAGGGAATCATAATTTTGGAGTCATGTAAGTTAATGGCTGAACATTTATTACAGAAATGTGGACTACTCTCAAGCTGCATTGCATGTGAAAAGCTTGCATTATTAAGGATTCAGAAATCAGGGCTTAGAGACAGACAACCAAAATAAGAGCAGTAATTGAGACACATACCATCTTCTTGTTAGGATCCTTGTTCATTTGAAAGACATGTACCCCAGGCTGGCTGAAGTGATACAAGAAAAGCCAAGATGTGCTTGAGTTGGGTTCCATCTCCTCTGTAAGGTCACGCAATGCTCCCCAGTCAAACTCACTGTTGGTGTTGTAAAGATTTTCACTGGAAAGTAAGAGCAATTTCATTTTCCTCTTGCTAATTTTTCTTACCAATTTTGTGCCTAAACCTCATGAAGACATTTGGAAATTATTAGTGCCTCCTGTCCTCAAGCCTCCTGATGGGTGATGGTCAATGAAGCCTTGACCATGCGCATTGATAGATATAAATGTTGAATAACTTCATTACATGGTAAAAAGATATTCAGCTTAACCAATCTCCGCCAGTATTTACCCTCTGCACAAGAACAATTCCTCATGCACTAAGGCAATCTCTTTCCATATTCATTTACTCATCTAATGAATCTAATTTTAAAAGTTCATATAGTTTCTGCCTCAATCACTAATGAGGAAATGAATTTTCCAGTCTTACAACCTTGCATAAAGTAATTTCTCAGTGTCTGTATTGTAAATCTTTTAATTTAATCCTATAATTTTAACATTCCAGTCTAACATTCTGTTTCTACATTCGGGCACTCTATCATTCAATTTTAGATACAGGTACAGTTACCTGTGTCAATACTATTCAAATGATAGAAGATTCAATTTTTACAGGTGTTTTCTTTTGTTTTACTACATACCTAAAGATTCTCAGGTAATAATTTTCATGAAATCACATGCTGGTATGTTAAATCAAGTGAATTTTGCTAAAGATCTTAACCAATGAGACATAATATGATACATACATGTCATACACAGGATAATATCTATTGGACACAATGAACATGATGATACTCCCAATGTGGATGCAGGTTGTGGGGTTGATGATGCCCAAAAACAAGGTGCCATTTGTGGTAGAGTCAGCAACCTGGGGTATTCGTGACCAGTGAGGTCCAGGATCTTCAGGACTTTGTGATGTTGCATTATCTAAGGATAGACACATAGTCTGAGAATAAACTCAAAACAAAGCCTCACACCAAAGAAGAATAAGTGTGCTTCAGAAAAACCCCCTTTTTGATACAGAAAGTAGATTAGCCCAGGTTAATGGAAGATACTAGTAAAGAACAATAAAGTTATAACAGGAGATATACAAGCAGAGGCAAGACAATGAGAGTGAAATGATGTTTAAGTAATGCATCAGTACCTGGAGACACAGTTAATAATGGATGATGTTGCAAGTTCATCTCCAGCAATCTCTTCAACTTCATGGGATCTGGATCATATACACCCAGAAAACCTTTATCTGAAAAAATGATTAAATACAGATATCATTTTCTACCTGGTCTGGTCGCATCTGTGAAGAAAAAAATGGAGTCAACGTTTTGGGTCTGGCAATCTTTCCTCAGAACAGTTCTGAGGAAAGGTCACTGGACACGAAACGTTAACTCTGTTTTCTCCTTCACAGATGCTGCCAGACCTGCTGAGCTTTTCCAGCAACTTGTTTTCGTTCCTGATTTAAGCGTTCGCAATTCTTTCAGTTTTTATCATTTTCTACCTGTTGTTTATGCCTTGAACTGTAAGCTCATTAAATGTTTGACTGTAATGGACCAGACCAAACCCCTTCAAAATATATTCAGAAGATAGTCTAGATCCTAACTTTTTCTTTCTTTAAAGGTAAGTGTAAGGTGTTATATTTCCAGATGCAATTCGATTGGTTAAACTACTTGATATTAAGCAAAACACTCCTTATTTCTACACTACCGTTAAAATACAGACAAAATAAAAACAGAAGAAAGGGATTAGCTTAACTCTAACTATCGAAATGCTTAACAAAATAATAGATATATTAACCCACTACTAATGAACTGTTCCCATACAATAGCATCCCACAAATACACCCTTGGCAAAAGGCAAAATTCAGTAAAATAGATTGTTTCACAGGCAATTCTCTAGTCAAGGAGGAAAAACATCAAGAGAAAACTCAGAGTGAGAGGGAGTAGCAGGGAAAAATGTACTACAGCTTCCAAACCCAGCTTCAAGACCCAAACGACAACTGCTACTGAAAAACTAAAACTAAAATACCTGGCCCTGTGCGATCTTGACCCCACTCATTCAGGCTGCCTCTATTGATCAACTTTTAAAAAAAAAAAAACCCCCAAGGCCTCACAAGCTGTTTATTTTATGGGCTTTGGTGAAGACTGATCGTCACCTCTGATCTAAACTTTTCTTCATTTAAAAAGAAAACAGGACAAAATACATCTATTAAATCCATCATATTGTCACAACTGACAAAATTAAGCGTCAGCAATACATTTTTATTTGGACATCATTAAGACATCTATAGTCAGAGGGCTCAAGGGCTTCTTCTTGTTCAAACATGGATCACAGCATCAATGAGAAAATGGCTAAAAATTTCCTGAATGAGGTGGAAGTGGACGTCATAAAACATATAAAACATTCAGGTAGGTCTTGAAAAGGCTCAGACTGTTAGCATGAACTGGATAGAGCAAACAACCAAGAGTAGGCTCAAAGTTCAACTAAAATTGTTTCCGAGATAGTAGGAACTGAACCAAAATAAAGAAATCAATTAAAATTGTGCCTCTTGCCTCACTTTGATGAGATGTCTACAGCCAAATGGAAGTTGGTCAGATCAGCGAAAAGTCCTAGGAAGGTGATAATCGGGTAAAGGTTTGGGGACGGCTGCCTTTAGGGCCTTTAGTGGTTCTGTGGGCCAATTCGAAGCACTTGTGTTCCTACAGGATCCACTTGCAGGAGAATCAAACATAAAGAAACTCCCCTTTTTGACTGTAGCTTCCTGTGGTCTTTTAAACCAATTGGATTATCAGCAACCTAACTTTGGGAAGAGGCCCTGAAACAGAAATTTGGTCCCATGTATCTGGTAATAAGGACCTAATGGCTGGTTCAAGGTGATGTCATGGATTCCTGAAAAATTGCTTGTCTCAACATTATGTCAGATTTATTTCAGGTCATCATTGTGACTAATTGATGTAGCCCCATAAAAATGGGTCATTTTTCCCATCCAGGAAACAATCCAAACACTCCCATTTCCAAGCCATTGTGTCTAATTTCTGCCCTGTCACTGTCATAACCAACTTCCCTTTTAAAAGGTTTTGAAAAGAAATATCTTTGGTGGAAAGTTTACCTCAACCAGAATTATATGTCCCCAACCCAGCAGAACAGCAAAGACACAAGACACTTTAGCTAATTGCCAATTTATTCAAATGTTAGTTTCCTCCCTCACAAAAGGACAGCAATTGTATTATTGTTCACTGAAGCAGACCAGAACTTAGTTCGTGTGTTTATGTCCAAATGAATAAGCCTACTCCTGAGTAAACAGTCACAAACAACAACAAATAGAAGTTGCTGGAAAAGCTCAGCAGGTCTGGCAGCATCTGTGAAGAAAAAAAATCAGAGTTAATGTTTCGGGTCCGGTGACCCTTCCTCAAAACTGAGTACACAGTATTGTGAATCAAGTTTATTCATCTCTCCACCTCCAGGAAGGTGAGATTTGAGAGAGTGCTGTGTCTTTGATAGAGTCATAGAGTCTTATAGTATGGAAACAGACTCTTCAATCCAAACATAATCCCAAACTCAATAAGTTCTATCTGCTTCCTTCTGGCCCATATCCCTCCAAACCTTTTCTATTCATGAACTTAGCTAAGTGTCTTTTAAATGTTGTAACTGTGCCTGCATCCACCACTTCCCCTGCAAGTTCATTCCACACATGAACCAACCTCTGTGTAAAAAAAATTGGCCCTCATTTCTTTTTTTAAATCTCTTTCCCCTCACTTTAAAAATATGCCCCCTATTCTTGAAATTCCCCATCCTAGGGGAAAGATACATACCCTTAACACAATCTATGCCCCTCATGATTTTATAAACCTTCATAAGGTCACCTCTCAATCTCCTACACTCCAGTGAAAAAGTCCCAGCCTATCCAGCCATTCTTTACATCTCAAACCATCCACACTTGGCAACATCCTGGTAAGTTTCTTCTGAACCCTCTCTAGCTTAGTAATATCGACATAAGTGCATGCCATAAAGTCTCACCAGACATTTCCACCAAGTGCACTGGCTGTTGTTTGTGACACAGGCCTCCTTTGATAATGTTCCTGCTGTTCAAAACTCTTCCAATATCTTTCAAAGGCACATCAACCTAGAGAGACACATTTAGTTTGTTGTATTGAAATAATGCCATGTTTTAACCCCTCACATTGCTGATACGTCTATAGTGGGCAAATCACCTGGACATCAATTCTCCTGCTAGGGCCGATCTCTACAACTTGTGGAAACATCAGATCTGAGCACTGTCTCGTTCAATGTTACAGTCAGTTAAAGTAACAATCAGTTCTGCTCGCTGTCTAACAGGTGATTAATTGATGGAGGTTAAGCCCAACTTTATCTCATGTCAAAGTGAACGTGTTTTAAGTAAGTTAAGGTCTCAACTTTGAAATAAACAGAGTTGAAATTTCATGGGTTCTACGACAGGTGAGGCAATGTCTTTGACAAGTTCGCTGCCCAGGGTGTGCAGAGGACAATCTTCCCACTGGAGTGTGAACCCTTGTTGACAATCCCCCTCTCTCATACAGAGGTGCTGGAACTAATTATAGTCCCACTCCTGCCACCCGCCTTGAATAAGCTAACTCAATACCGAAGAGAGCAGAAACCAATTATTTCTTTGCTGGAGTTCGGAAAAATGAGGGGGATCTCATAGAAACCTATAAAAGTCTAACAGGGCTAGACAGGGTAGGTGCAGGAAGGATATTCCTGATGGCAGAAGGGTCCAGAGCCAGGGGTCACAGCCTAAGGATATGGGGTGAACCATTTGGGACTGAGATGAGGAGAAATTTCTTCACCCAAGAAGTGGTGAGCCTGCGGAATTCACTGCCACAGAAAACAGCTGAGATGAAAACTTTGTGTGATTTCATTAACGAGTTGGATACAGCACTTGAAGCTAAAGGGATCAAAGCATATGGGCGAAAAGTGGAAACAGAGCACTGAGTTAGATTATCAGCCATGATCATAATGAATGGTGGAGCAGGCTCTAAGGGCCAAATAGCCCATTCTGTTCCCATCTTCCATGTTTCTATGTTTAACCCAGTCTGTGCAGTCACCAGATGAACCAAGACAAAAGCTGCTTTCTTTTCAATTGCTCCTGTCATTACCTTTGAACCATCTCTGAAAGTGATATGGAACTGTTCCCTTCCTTTACAAGTTATCTGCAGTCTGCTCCACTGTAATTGTCTGCATTTCCAATCGCACACCATGTCCAGACTCTCTGTCTGACAGAGACACAGGCCGAGAACTTCATCAAATCCCTGGTAATCTACAGGGGAAGCACAAACCTGTGACAAAACCAAATATTCTGTTACCTTAAATGAATCAAAACAGCATGGCAGAAATATAAGAGGAGCTGTAGTGCGATGTACAATAATGAAATTTGTTTGGACCTATGTTTCAATATGAGAACTGTTCAAGGTCACATGTAACATCTGCAAGATAAAAGTAAAAAAAAGATGTTGAAAAATCTGAAATAAAAGGTAGAAATTGCTGGAGAAACTTAGCAGGTCTGGTAGTATCTATAGAGAGAGAACCAGAGTTAACAGCTTGACTCTAATTTGGCTCTTCCTCAGACCATTATCCTTTGTTTTGAAACACTTGCCCCATGTCTCAAAACACAACCTACACCACCACTACTTTTCCTTATGATTTTATTGAAAACTTTAATATTATTTTTCACATATAATTATAGCTGCTTAAACATGATAAAAGTGGGGGTAGCATTGACACCAGGGAGTGCGCCCTCATTAACTTATCAGAATAAACATCAAAAGAGCATTACAAGGAGAGTGACAGAGGGTCCCATCAGACCCACATTGCACTGCATTATATATCCTGCAGAATATTTCCACAAAGGATAGCTTGAGTCTAACAGTTATGACCAAAGTTGGCAATAATGTGGGGTTAAATTTTACAGAGTGGTGTGGTCGCCATCCCCTGGCGAAAATGCCAGGGTGGGATGAAAAGCTCTCCTTGATCCTGAAGGTTGCCCCTCACCAGCTTAACACTGAGCAGCTTTAATTGCTCTAAAGAGAGACTTTCTCAAGAGGAATTCCCACCCTAATTTCCACATCTTTCTAGTCTCTGCAAAGGCAGATTGTGGCTGTGGCTGTTGCTGAAATTGCACACAGTCCCACCATAAGCCCAGGGAACTCCAGGGTCAGACGTGTCTCAGAAAGCGGCAGGGCTGGGGTCAAGAGGACACGAGGAGGATTAAAAATTAAAGTGTAAGGGCAAATGACCTTTGGAGGGATTTTTTAAAATTCATTCACAGGATGAGAGCATTGCTGGGTAAGCAGCATTTATTGCCCATCCCTGATTGCCAACAATGGATTCACAGTCATCATTGGACTCTTAACCCCAGATATTTATTGAATTCAAATTCCACCATCTGCTGTGGTGGGTTTTGAACCCGGGTCCGCAGAATGTCATCTTGGACCCTTGATTAACAGTCCAGTGACAATACCACCAGGCCATCACCTCTCCTCAATTCCTCTATTAGCCCTTGGGGGACCCAAAGGCGATCCCTCCTCACATTGCATGGCTTACTCAAAGGCCTGGGACTCCCTCTGCAGCTGGTAGAATATTGGCAACTGCACAATAGCACTCTTAAATATCCAATAATTGGGCCTGGTGGCTCAGTGATTTCCAGTGATGCTTTACAGCACCAGGAACCCAGGTTCAATTCCACCCTCAGGCAAATGTCTGTGCGGAGTTTGCACGCTCTCCTGTGTCTGTGTGGGTTTCCTCCGGGTGCTCTGGGTTCCTCCCACAGTCCGAAGATGTGCAAGTTAGGTGGATTGACCATGGGAAATGGACCCTTAGTGTCCTGGATGTGATGGTTAGGTGAATTAACCATGAGAAATAGGGGGTTAGGGTGGCAGTTGGGTTTGGGTGGGATGTTCTTCTGAGGGTTGGTAAAGACCCAATGGGCTTAATGGAATCTTTCCACACTGTAGGGATTCTATATTCTTGGAGTGTAACATCCAGTCCCTAATCTATATTCTAATTGAAAACTATTGGAATTTGCAGACTCCTATGTTATTATACATGTCCTGTTTCTCGACTGCATTCATATCGGCATCAGCTTCAACTCAGACACCCTTAGTATGGCATCTCTTAGCCCAGGCCCCAAGCTCTAGAGGAGCACATACTTTGTGTGCAGTGGCTGGACACACACTGAGTGTTGTGCTGGTGGAGGTCTCACCATCTGGACGAACTGTTAGGACAAGGCCCTATCTGTCTTCTTGGCTGAATATTAAAGATTCCATGTCACAAGTTGAACGGATACACAGGAACTCTCCTGGCCAATGTGTATCCCTCAGCAATTTCAAATGCAAATTTATTTTGACATTTAGATGTCCATAAATTGACTTCCACTTTTTAAAAACAAAATCATTCTCAGGATTTAAGTAGCACTGGCCATGTTTTGATCAGGTGTGATCTGGCACCAATGGATTTAAGGAAGAGGTGATTGTTCTGCATTAATTTTGGGATAATTGTGTAGGAATGGGGTCTGCATAGTTTTAATCAATCTGTTTGGAATGTCATGATACACGTTGGGCAGATGTGACTTGAACCTGGGTCCTCTAGCTCCAATGTAGGGACATTTCATAGAAACCTATAAAATCTTTACAGGTCTAGACAGGTTCAATCCAGAAAGGATGTTCCCAATGGTAGGTAGTCCAGAACCGAGGGTCATGGTTTAAGGATATGGGGTAAACCTTTTAGGACTGAGATGAAGAGGAATTTCTTCACCCAGAGAGTAGTGAGCCTGTGGAATTCACTAACACAGAAAGCGGTTGAAGCCAAAATATATCTGTTTTCAAGAAGGAGGTAGATGTAGCTCTTGTGGTTAAAGGGATCCAGGAATATTGGGGTTTAGAAGGGATTAGGAGGGATTAGGATATTGATCTCCATGATCAGCCGTGTCATATTGAATGGTGGAGCAGGATTGAGGGTTAGAATGGCCTATTCCTGCTGCTGCCTTCTACGTTTCTATGCTTTTTCTCTTTATTTGTTCACGGGATGAGGGCTTCGCTGGCTAAGTAGCATTTATTGCCCATCCCTAATTGCCCAGAGGGCAGTTAAGAATCAACCACATTGCTGTGGTCTGGAGTCACATTAGTGAACCAGGTGGGTTTTTCTGACAATTCACCATGGATTCATGGTCATCATTAGACTCTTAATTCCAGATAGTTATTGAATTCAAATTCCACTATCTGTCATGGTGGGATTTGAACCTGGGTCCCCAGAACATTATCTGGGTCTCTGGGTTAACAGTTCAGCAATAATACCACTAGGCTATTGACTCCCCTCACTGTACCATTTGGCCCTCCTCACTGGGTGTTGAGGAACAACTAATCAGTGTACTTGGAGTTTTGTGACGTGTAAGGTGAACTAAAACTCTTATTAGAAAAGTCTACACCTGGCTTTTGTCCAAATAACCTTTTAACTTCTGTTTTTATTAGCTAGGTGTACATTCACTACCCATGCCCTCAAGGAGGTAATTGTAAACTGCCTTCTTTAACTGCTGTAGTCCCTGTGGTATATTATGGAGGGAGTTGCAAGATTTTGATGAAATGACAATGAAGGAATTGTCATAAATTTCCAAGTCAGGATGGTGTGTGCTTTGGAAGGGAACTTGCAGGTGCTGGTACTTCCACATTTCTGCAGATCTTGTCCTTCAGGTGGTAGAGGTTCTGGATTGGAACATATTGAGTCTCTCTACATTACCACACTGAAAACATTTCCAAAACTGTGACATACTTTGGGATATTCTGTGCTTGAAAGGAGCTTGACAAGGTTTTTTTTTGATACACACCTTCAGAGAGCAATATTCTTTCCACTCATCTTTTGTGAGACAGACTCCATCCTGATTTCTGCTGGTCCCATCTCGGCAGATATTGTACAACTTCCTGACACATGCCCTTGTTCCTTTAGATACCAGTCGGTGTCTCAAAGCACACGTGCAATGAGAATCAGTAGGCTAAGAAAGATCCAATCATTAATTTATAATGAACACATTGTTCCAGTACAACAACCTTGAGTTTAAGGTGGAAGGCGCCTCAAAGTTCTTCACAGAGGGTGGGGGAATGGAGACAGAACCACAATGATTGAATGACAAAAGCACAGTCAAAATGATGGTCTTTAACAAAATTTTAATAGAGAAGGAGTACAGAAGAAGAGAGGAACACCGAGGAGTTTGAGACAAAGCAGCTGACAGCTGCTCAATTAATGCCAGAGTGCTTGGAAGGCAAGTGTCGAGGTATTGATAGGTGCAAAGGAGGTTGTCAGCAAAGGCATGAGTAGGAAAACCTGTTGCAAGGTCAGGACATGGTGTCATTTTTCTTTCTTTATTACATTGATCATCCTGCAGCCTGGATCTTCACTTTAGTCAGCTTTTGTCCACGGGGCTGCACAGGCCTTAGTTGAGCCTGTGGTTGAAATGAATGGCTCACTCCCTGAACTCCCATCATATCTCACTGGGAAATGACATTGCCTTCCTTTTGCTCGTTCATGGGTTCTGCATGTTTCACTGACAAGACTAGCACTCGTCGTACATCCCTATTTGCCCATAGCCACTTCAGAGGGCAGTAAGGATTCACCCACATTTCTGGGTATCTGGAGTTACATGTAGGCCAGACCATGTAAGGATGGCAGATTGCCTTTCTTAAAGAAAGATCATTAGTGAGCCAGAATGATTTGTTTTGAAACAGCAATCAATGATAGTTTTAGGATCACTGTCACTGAGACAAGCTTTCAATTCCAGATTTATTAATTAGGTTGAAATTGCACCAACTGCTGGGGTGGCCCATGTCTCCAAAGCCTAGATTCTTGGATTACGAGGCCAGCGACATCACCATGACATAACCACCTCCCACGAGGGACAGACAGCCTTACTGTTTAAATTCAGGCAGTTATGTAAAAGCCTGAGGTGGGATCTGTTTTGCATTAGCAGCACAGTGTAACTGGAGGATGGAACGGGTAGTGGAGGCTAAAGTTGGCCATCAGCATTCGAAATGAAGTTTGATTTACATCAAGTGCATTACAAATATCACAAGTTGGAAATTACTAAACACAAGACTGTGATGCATGCTCATGTCATCAATAAAGATGCTGAATAGTTTAAAATGAGAATGCTGATATTTTTACCTGGAAGATTTCCCCTTTCTGATGGCAAATGCAGATGTCCTGTCCTTCTTCAGGCTGTTCAGCCTGGGAGCCACAGGAGAAGTAGGCTCCCTGGCCTGTTAAATGGTTGAAGTAATTTGTGGGACATTTCAAGCAACTGTCAGCACTCACTGCTCTTTCACTCGGATTGTAAGTACCTTTAGGACAAGGGATTGGCTCAGGGCTTGCCGGAGGGCAGTAGTGACCTGCAAACAATTGTGGAGAAAGTAAATTCTTCCAATGAATTATCCATTCTGACAAGTTGTGCCCTTTGGCAAACTCTGTATAGCCTGTTCTGAGCTAATTGTGGCTCCTTGTTTGTGAAGGTTTCAGAGTTTACAGCTTAGCTAGCAGAAAGCAACTGATATAGAGGGGAAATGTTATTTTGGCGTAGTGAGTTTCTGTTCCCTTACACAAGTTTCTGTTAACTGTTAGTTTCCATTTTTGGCTTCAATGCCCCTACAACCCAATTTTGTTAATTTAATGTTTAAAAGAGTACAGGGGCTTGAGAAGGCGCAGGACAACTAAATCCAAGCTGAGGATATTTACAAATGCTGTGTATTGATACAAGTTAAATTTCGCAACCAACAATTAGCTGTGTTGTCAATATTCAAGACAGATTCCCTGAGGAGACAGTGGAGACAACAGATCCATAAAGCAGTGGGATGGAATATTTGGCAGGCCAAATGTCTAAGCATAAGGGGCTGGATACTTTATAAACTTTGAATGAGGTGTAGCCGTATCTCTCTGTTCTGTATATTTCTATGTTTCTAGTTCATCACCAAAATGACAGGAATTAAGTTGAACAATTAGCTTAAATATGCAAGTATCTCGAGTGTATAAGTAGGATCAAAAGTGACTGCAATTAAGTTGTTACACATGATCCTGGGTCAGATGATAGTCGTTTAGTGAAAGAGAAGATATTGCTCTTGAAGCACATGTACCTTTTGGACAGATGTAAGATCTGGCTGCTGCAATCCCATAGTCATTCACGTTTGATGGTGGATCAGTGGTGGTAGCTCCTTGAAGACAGACCACCCCTGCTTGGCATTTGCGGCAGACCTGGCGATTATCGTGGTTCCCATAGTAACCAGCAGGGCAAGGTTCGCAAGTGTTGTTGAAGGTGCTTCTGTTGGATCCATTGTACTCCCTGTATCCCAGGGGGCACTTCACTGGCTTACTGGCACCAATGACTGATAAAGACAAGTTAGTGGTATGTTCGCCTCTTGTAGCCTTGAATTAAGCTGTCATTTCATTTCCACCAGTCTATTGTATTGGCCTTGTCTATTTAAGCCTTATGATAAGATATAGAATGAGTAGAGGCCTTTCAATAATATCCAGAGGCCACCACCATTCTATTCTCACAGACACATGGAATAGTAAAAGCACAGGAGTCAATTTTGTGCAATGAGCCCATGCTGGCTCTTCATCAAGCAATCAGCCCATTTAGTTTATTTCCCACTGCTCCATCCCATACATAGAATCACACAATTTTACAGCACAGAAGGAGGCCATTCAACATATCATGGCTGTACTGGTCCTGAAACAGCTACCCAGCTAATCCTATTCTTCAGGTCTTTCTCTGTAGTCCTCTAAATTCATCACTTTCAATATAAATCCAGCTCTCGTTTGGAACATCATATGGAACCTGCCTTCACCACTCTCACATTCCAAATCCTAAAAACTCTCTGAGTGAAGAAGTTTCTCCTCATCTCACTCCTCGCTGGCTTGCTGACATATTTGCTTCTACCCCCTCAGAGATAGCACTTCTAGCTCATTATCACTTGGTGCATAAAATAAACCTCTCAAATCCCACCTGTATCTCTTGCCTAAAATGTAAATCTGTTTCCCATAAATCCCTCTTACTATCAGCTGAAAGGAACAGCTTTTTATCTGATCACGAACTCTACAAGAGCACTTAATCCTTTGAGTTTCTTTTTCAGTTTAGTTTGAAATAGTTTGTATTTAATTTAATGGCTGACTATAGTTATTTTAACCTTCTTACCCCATCTGGAGCCATCATGGCTGAAAACAGTGTCCTGAGGACAGTAATGACCAACTGGACACTCAACTGGGACCTGGGATCCTGTGGGACAGTAATAACCAGCTGGACTAGGTAACTGAGGTACAGGTATGATGCAGCAGTAACCTGGAACACAGAACAGAGTTTGCAAATGCTTTTCCCATCATTTCAGCTTCTGACAACACATCCTTTCACAGGAAAGTCTTGTTTAAGTCTGTGTGTGAACTCCTCAGCCCAAATTCATGTACACATCACCAGACAATAGAAGGTAAACATTCTTCTGTCGCTAATGTCAGGAGAATGGAATTCTAGCGGGGTTTTAAACATAGGAGCTGAGGGGCCATTTGACTCTCAGCCTTCCTCGTTGTTCAATAATTTCACAGCTGATCTAGTTGAGGTCTCAGTTCCACGTTCCTGTCTGCCCCGAACGTCCCCATAAAAATACTTGATTTCCTTGTAGATCAAAAATTTATTAATTCAGCCTTCAGTCCACCTTCCAGGACTTTCTGGAGAAGAAAAGTCCATATGTTTGGATTGACGCTTTGATAGAAAAATATTCTGCCCCAAAATGGAGATCTCTTACTCTTCAACGATTCCCCTTGTTTTAGTCTTGCCTACAAGAAGATACATTCTCTCAGAACCCACTCAATCCAATCCCTTCCAGATCTTTTGTGTTTCAATATTCTTCTAAACTTCAACTGATATAGGTCTAGCCTGTTCAACCTTTCTTTATAAGATATGCCCTTTATCCTGTGAATGAGTCTGGTTGATCAGATTACCGACCAGGTTGAATCCTATCCATTTTGCTTGTGTATTTGGGGAGGAGGTACTTAGGTGCAACATAAGGGGAAGAAATTTTCTCTTCTACACATAACAAACTTGCCAGTTCATTTATAAAGAATTATTTGCAACTTCTCAAAGTGATTGAAATGGAGAAAATCTCAGTTCATAGAATCATAGAGATACACAGCATGGAAAAAGACCCTTCGGTCCAACTCGTCCATGCCGACCGGATATCCTAAATAAATCTAGTCCCATTTGCCAGCATTTTGCCCACATTCTTCTAAACACTTCCAATTCATATACTCATTCAGATGTCTTTTAAACATTGTAATTGTACCAGCCTCCACCACTACCTCTGGCAGTTAATTCCATTCCATATATGCGCCACCCTCTGCATGAAAAAGTTACCCCTTAGGTCCCTTTTATATTTTTCCCCTCTCAGCTTAAACCTATGCTGTCTAGTTTTGGACTCCCCCAACCCAGGGAAAAGATCTTAGCTACTCACCCTATCCATGCCCATCATGATTTTATAACCTTTTAGGAGATCAACCCTCAGCCTTCAATGCTCCAGGGAAAATAGCCCCAGCATATTCAGCCTCTCCCTATTGTTCAAACCTTCTAACCCTGGCAACATCCTTGCAAATCTTTGCTGAACCCTTTCAAGTTTCACAACATCTTCATTTGCAAGATGACACCTCTTGATAACGTCACAATCCTTCAGTTCAGGGTTGATTTTTGTACTCATGTTCTGGAGTGGGACGTGAACACAGAACCTTGCGATTCAGGTAAGGGTGTTACCAACTTTTGGAACTTTAGAGGATGTGAGTGAGGACTTAATATTTGAGATAACGGAGACTTGGAGCAAATATTTTGATTGTGCTTTCACAATAGAGGACGTAAAACGTGTCTCAGAAATAGTTGAAAAATTAAGAGGCCAAGGAAGGAAGGAGGTTAAAAACAATCACTATCACTTGAGAAAACAGATTAGGAAAATTAATGGATATAAAGGCTGACAAACCTCCTGAACTTATCAGTTTGCATTCCTTGGTCTTAAAAGATGTAGCTACAGTGATAATGAATGTATTGGTTGCAATCTTCCAAACTTTTGTTGATTCTGGAGAGGTTCCACTGGATTGGAAAACAACAAATGTAATAACACTAATAAAGAAGGAAGAGAGACAGAAAACAGGAAACTATAGGTTACTTACCTTAAAACTGTCACTCAGAAAATCCTGGGAACTCATCTGAAGGATGTAGCAGCAGGGCATTTAGGAAGTTGTAACATAATCAGGCCACAGTCTACATGATTTTAAGGAAGGGAAATCATATTTGACAATTTATTAGAGTTTTTCAAGAGATGTAATGAGCAGGATGGCATATGAAACTAAGGAAAACATGATACAACTGCACAAGACATTGGCAACACTGCACCTAGAATACTGCAGACAGATTTGGTCTCCTTTCTTAAAGGGGGACAATATTTGCATTGGAAACCATTCAGAGAAGCTTCACTAGGCTGATTCCTGTAATGAAAGTATTGTCACAAGAGGAAAGGCTAGAGAGGTAGGGTCTATACTCAGTGGCATGTAGAAGAATGAGAGATGACATTATTGAAACACAAGATTCTGAGGGGGCTTACAGGGTAGTTATGAGTGAGTCAGATGCCAGTGAATGAAAGCATTTTCTACAACAGCATTTTCCAGTGATTAATGTACAGGAATCTGTACAACCTATCTCTGCTGATGAGTCCAACGTGTCAGAAACATGTAACATGTTGAAAATTGTGAGCTACTTTAAATATTCAAGGTATAAATTCACCTGGTATGTTGCTGCAAGTCCCAGGAGGGCAGGGATGGAGATTTCTTTCAGGACAGTAAAAGCCAGGAGGATATGTGGCATTGGTGTACGTTTGAAAATTAGCATGACAGTAAAGCCAGCTTCACAAGGCTGGCAACTCTCTTGCCCAGCTGCATCTTGGTCACTTCTCATAGGACAACCTACAGGTGATGCTAACTTTAGAGCCCAATAATGACATGGTGAATAGATTTCTCCAACTTCAGTATGACAGCCTGCAACAGCAAAAACAATAGCATGATGTCAAAGTAACAAGTTTCTCTCACGTCATTTATTTTATAATTTGTACTATGGTCTGCAGTGTTTGCATATTACCCAGTGCGGATATGGTGCCCACATTTTCTCCAGTGTGAATAGAACAAAGGAGGACAAAAATTAATTTCCATTGAACCTTCCAAAACCTCAAAGTTCAAAAGCTCTTTACAGCCAACAGGGTACTTTTTGAAATTTAGTCAATGTAGAAACTGCAACAACTAATTTACACACAGCAAGGTCCCACATGTTCCAATGTGAAACAGGCAGTGATGTTGATTGAGGGACACCAAACAGAACTCATCTAATTCTTCTTCAAAATAGTGCCATGGAATCTGTTACACTTACGTCCAAGGGCAGATATGTTACCACTTTAATGTTTCCTCTAAACAAAGTAGCTCAGTGGTTAGCACTGCTGCCTCACAGGGCCAGAGACCCAGGTTTGATCCCACCCTCAGGCGACTGTCTGTGTGGAGTTTGCACATTCTCCCTGTGTCTGCGTGGGTTTGCTCCGGTTTCCTCCCACAGTCCAAAGATGTGCAGGTTTGGTGGATTGGCCATGCTAAATTGCCCATGTTCAGGGCTGTGTAGCTTAGGTGGGTTATAAGGGGATAGGTCTGGGTGGGATGCACCTAGGGTCAGTGTGGACTTGTTGGGCCGAAAGGCCTGTTTCCACATTGTAGGGATTCTATGAAGTCTATGAAAATTCCCTCAGCACTGTACTGGCATTCAAACCCATGTCTCCAGAACACTAGCCTGGGATTCCAGTTTACCAATCCAATAACGTTACCACATGATACAAGTTATGATTTCTTAGTGCATGATATGAGTCAGGAAAAGTCTTGAGTCAGGTGTTGAGTTTCAATGTTTGCTTTGCTGTTGCTGAAAGGTCACACTAATTTCTTTGTGATTCTCATTTTGTAATTCACAGAAATGTAGGCAGAAAGTCCCAGTCATGTCTGTGCAGATTAATCTGGGTCCAGACTGGACAGAAATTCATGAGAAGAGAGAGGTCAAAAAGGAAAGAAAAACTTCTTTTTTGTTCCACGGGAATGTGGGAACGTGAGATGTTCCAACTTGCGTTCCTTGATGCCTGAAAGGAAGAGAAAAAGTTCCTTGTTAGACAGCTAATGAGCTGGAGGATGAAGTGGAACTGGGTGTGCAGGGCAGTTCTGAGCCACTGTGAGGCAGTGCTGGTGGAGAGAGAGGTCGTGAGTGTGCAAATGATGACACATGGCACTAAGTGTGAATCTCAGGATGCAGTGAGAGCAGCTATCTGCACATACAGAGTGTCGTACATCACGAAGATACCTGTAATCCTGGGAGGACTCAAAACACGAAGGATGGAACTTTGGTCAGAATCCACGTGGGGTGAATCTGAGCTGGGTGCAGTCACTGAGATGCGGCTGCGGAAATGAGTTTAGCAAGGTCTTTGTTAAAAAAACTTTGTCAAAAAGTAACGATGGCAAACAAGAAGAAAGGGTTAGAACTGAAATCCTGTTGGAGAGAGGAGCAGAACTCCTTCAAGGTGGAAGAGATGTGGCAGTGAGTTAAACACTAAAATAAAACAAAGAACTGCAAATGGTGGAGACCTGAAATAAAAACAGAAATTGCTGCAGAAACCTTTCACCAACCCCACACCCAATCCTGTTATGACACAATTTGCTTTTAGCACAGTCAACCATTCTGATGTACTCCTATACCCATTATCAGAGTATATGGGTTGCATTCAGCACAGCTGACCCATTTTATCACTCTTGGCTCTTATTATCTCTTAACCAGCTTTTCTTCTGTGCTGGCCTGCTATCCATTATCTCTATGTTTACCTATTGTAGAGATTGGCCAGGTGGATTGCATGGACTATGAGATCCCTGATTGGGGATGTTAACCTGGGCTAATCAGGGACCCCTGAATCAGGTCCCCAGAACATTATCTGGGTCTCTGGATTAACAGGCCTCTCTGCTCCTATGATGCTGCTTGGCCTGCTGTGTTCATCCAGCCCTGCACCTTGTTGTCTCGGATTCTCCAGCATCTGCAGTTCCTACTATCTCTGGATTAACAGTCCAGCGATAATACCACTAGGCCATTGCCTCCCCTATAGGGATGGGATCCTGGCCTCTGTGCAGTTATTTCAGTGAATGAAGGAAGAAAATTACAGAACATAATTCTGAACAATAGTCTGGGTAGGACGTGTAGGCCATTCAATCTCTTGAGCTTGTTCCACCACTCAATGAGATCATGGTTGATCTGTGGCCTAACTGCACATATTTGCCTTTGGCCCATACTCCTTGTGAAGAAGAAATAAATTTGTAAGAGATGTTAGGAAGCTTGATTTGCTGCATGATTTCTGGGAATTCAGGAAGTGGAGAAAACACAGTGTAGAGCTGGAGGAACACAGCAGGTCCAGCAGCATCAGAGGAACAGGAAAGTTGACGTTTTGGGTTGGGACTGTTATCTCTGATTCCAGCATTCAGGAAGTGGAATTCCTTTATGTTGCAATACATCTCAGCTGGTAAGTGATGCCTTAAAAAAGTGACTGCCCTTTCACTCTCACACTCTCTCTCTCTCCGATCTACTCTCAGTTCTGTTGAAGAGTCACTGGAATTGAAACATTGACTCTGCTTTCCTCCCACAGTTGCTGATAGATCCACTGAGTTTCTCCAGCCACTTCTGTTTTTGCTTCTCATCCCACCGCTTTACCTTCCCCGTAATCCTACACATTTTCTTTTTCTCTTCAGTTGGTTTTCAATTTGTTTTTATTATTTCACAGTTCCCTGCATTAAATTTTATTGGTCTGTCCATTCCACTAGCCTGTCCATATCCTCTTAGTTTTTTTTTTCTACAGTATTCATCCAATAGTTCACTATCTACTCACGACACAGAGGAAGGAATGTTGTAGAGGAGTGTGACAAATGGTGCTTTTTTGATTAATTCACAAGACGTGGGTGTCACTGGCTAGGCCAGCATTTATTGCCTCTAATAATAAGTCAACCACATTATTGTAGGTCTGGAGACATCTGTAGGCCAGTCAATGTAATGATGGCAGTTTTTGTTACTAAAAGACATTGTATGGAAGTATAGGTGTTGGAAATCCAAGTGGTTCACTAATGTCTTTGAGTCAAAATTAGCATGACACCAGGTTATAGTCCAACACGTTTATTTGAAATCACAAGCTTTCGGAGTGCTGCTCCTTCATCACTCTGAAAACTTGTGATTTCAAATAATCCTGTTGAACTATAACCTGGTGTCATGTGACATTTGACTAAAAGACATTAGTGAAGCAGATGGATTTTTCCTGGCAATTAACAGGGTTACATGATCGTCATTGATCTTAATTCCAGATGATTTATTTGATTGGTTTTAAATTCCATCATTTGCCACAATGGAACTTGAACCCAGGGCATTACCTGAGGCTCTAATTTAGACAGAGTAGCAGCAATACCACTAGGCCATCACCTCTTATCCAGCCTGCAGTCTAATCCAGGGCATAACGTATATGGTTCTGAATAACGTCTCACATTACACTGATCAGAGCTGAAAGAATAGAACATGTTCATGAAACAATGACCTGAAATACAGGTTAAATGGCAGAGGGTGGTAAAAGCCACTTACCTGAATTTGCATTCATTTGCTGATTTCAGTCTTATTTGAGGATAATTGAGTTTTTGCCTACTGCCGAATGAGTAGGGGGTCAGTAAGGGAATCAAGGATTAAAGGGAAAGGGCAGGAGATTGGTTGTGAAGAATGTTGGATTAGCCATGATCCTATTGAATGGCAGAATAGGCTCGAGGGGCTGAACAACCTACTCTAATTCTGATTTTTTATGGTCTTGTGAAGTAGTAGACCTAGGAGTACAGAGATAATCTCCTATGACAGCACTTCTGTCTAAATTCCACTTAAATTGAACCCAAATACATTTACCACATATTCATCTGGCAGAAAAAAAAACTGCATCTGGTACCACCTTTACAAAGAGTGTATCTGAGGTAGGCATGTTGCTATTACATCTAACAAAATGGATTTTATTTGAAGGTATTTTATTCAAGCATTAAGGTTATATATTTGATAGTACAAATACTTGAAAGGCTCCTTACCAACAGCACAACAGATGTTTCTCTCACACTCAAAATTCACTCACTGAAAATTGGAAATATCCCAACTTAGAAGTCTGCACAGCTATATTACTCGATACACTTCACTGAATTCAAAAGTTGCTTTACAAGATGCGACATTACCCCCTTGTAGTTGCAGCCAGTAATGCAATCCAATTGGATTCGGACTTGAGCCAATCTGGCATTCCTCATTTTTTTGTTTCATTTTTGCAGTCTTAAGTATTAATAATAGAGTAACTTGAGTATAAATAAATATCTTCACCATTTTGCAGGTCACGACCTGTGAATGGGGACTGATTTGGACTTCTGAAAGAAGCAACAGCTCAGAAAAGAAGAATAGATGAAAGAGGACAGAAAGAAAGACAGAAAGATTTACAAAACTCAACTTGGACAAAGTCACATATAATCAAAAATGGAACTCAACAGGCATGAACCTTCACTTTGTACTTTCATTGCAAGGCAGCAAATGCAGGATATTGGACCTGCTCTCTTGCACCCCATCCCCGTTTTGTTTTCCACTGAAATCATAATGGAATCAAGAATCAACCATTGTGTAAAATGAATAGCCAACCTATATAAATGTCACCTGCAAATTTGAGGAGACTTATACAGAGGGGGATTGGACACCATACAAGTACAAACTGATGAACATATCTTGACTATTTAGGCCAAATAGGCTCGTAAGTCATCAACACTTCACTCAAACCTTCAATCAGTTTCCAATTCCACATGACCTGACACCTCTGATTATGCAGCTCAGCTACTTGTATAATGGTTCTTAACTGACTGCCTCTCAAATCACTCGTCTCTCCACTAATCTCTCAGACATGAAAACGAGAGTTTCTGTGGAGAATAGGATCAAGACGCTTGCTCAGAGGAACACTGAGCAGATGTGCTGGCATCTCAGCCAGGCTCAGCAGCAAAGCATTAATTACGGACATTAATTACCTGAAGGTCATGTCATCCTGGGACTAAATAATGACACAACACGAAAAATTTTCAAAGCAAAATATTGCATAAGGTGAAAATCTGAAATAAAATCTTAAAATGCGGGAAATACTCAGCAGGCCAGGTGAAAAATAGAATTGGAGTTTCATCAGAACTGAACAAAGATACAAACGTGATTTGTTTTGAGCAATCCTTTAGTGAATTTAATTGACCAGCACCATTCATGACTGAAGTGACAGGACCAAAGAGCTTAGATCTGACCTCAGAGATAGTAAAAACTGCCGATGATGGAGTCAGAGATAACACAGTGTGGAGCTGGAGGGACACAGCAGGCCAGGCAGCATCAGAGGAGC